TATAGAGGCTTTTCTCAAGATTTTCTTTCATGAAAACGTTTCCACTGTAATTACAACTAACCAAAAGAAAATTTGAGTCAAATCGGCCCAGCCGTTCTCAACTGATGTGTTACTATACTTTTTCATATTTTTATACCCTCCACCATACATAGTATGGAGGGTATATTAAGTTCGTCATTCCGTTTGTAACTCATCGAAATAATCATTTTAGACCCAACAAAGTATATATATTCTTGATCAGCGTAAAATTCTAAGACGATTTAGCCTTGTCCGTCCGTCCGTCTGTTGTAATCACGCTACCGTCTAAACGAATTAAGATAGGAAGCTAAAATTTTGCACAGATCTCTCTTTTGTCTGCAGGTAGGTCAAGTCCGAAGATGGGCTTTATCGGTCCACGATATCGTATAGTCCCCATATAACGGTACCCTCCGATATTCGGTATTTTGAAGATGTTAGCCACATTTTTCAATGGAATTGTTTGAAAATTCACACAAGTAGTTCCTTGTAAATACTTTACCCCCTGAGAGAGAATTGTCTATATAGGTCCACGATATCGTATATCCCCCATATAACGGTACCCCCGATATTCGGTATTTTGATAACTTTACCCACATTTTTCAACGGAATTGTCTGAAAATCCACACAAGGAGTTCCTTGTGGGTACTTTATACCTCGGCAGAGAATTTACTATATAGGTCCACGATATCGTATAGCCCCCATATAACGGTACCCTCGATATTCGGTATTTTGATGATTTTAGCAACATTTTTCAACGGAAATTGTACACAAGGGGTTTTTTGTGAGCGCTTTACCCCCCGACAGAGAATTCTTTATACAGGTTAATGATATCGTATAGCGACCATATAACGGTACCCCCGATATTCGGTATTTTGATAATTTTGGCCACTTGTGAGCACTTTACCCCCTGAAAGGGAATTGTCCATGTAGGTCCGTAATATCGTATATCCCCCATATAACGATACCCCCCGATATTCAATAGTTTGATGATTTTAGCCACGTTTTCCAATGGAATTATCTGAAAATCCACACAAGGGGTTCCTTGTGAATACTTTACACCCAGACATAGATTTGTCTTAATAGGTCCACAATATCATATATAACCCCATATATCGGCACCTTCCTATATTAGATATTGTAAAGATTTAAAATAAAATTTAATGGATTTTATTTTTTAAAAAAATTTCTAATTCGTTCCAAATGGTGGAGGGCATTCAAAGTTCGGCCCGGCCGAACTTACTGCTTTTTACTTGTTTTATTTAGCATATAAGATCCAGATTTATTTTGTTTCCTCGTTGGTTATTTGAACAGTAAACATTCTGATTGGTGTAATATTTATAATAATACAAAAGGAAATGTGCTAAAAGAATGGATAGAACAAAATTAAAACATGTTCAGGTGTAATCTTTTTTAGATTTATGTAATGCAGATGTTCGTCTAAATAATAAAAGAGAAAATATTGCGCTTAAAATTGAACTTATTGATCAGGAGAAGAATATTATTTAAAGAATAAATGCAGTATTCTAATTACTACAAAAACATATATTATTGACGATTTGGTTAATTTTAATGTATTAAAAAATAAAATAAATAAAAATCTTATTAACTCGAAAATCGATTTTTATTTACTGAAACTTAATTCGTATATATCACTAAAGCTATGGACGAATCTGTCCCTAAATATAGAAAAAAAATTACAACAACAAAAAATCTGAGTCCAATAATTATTTAAAAAATTACAAAAAGGGAAAAGCAAAATACTAACAAGTATTATAAAACACAATGGGCAGAAATTACGATTGATACATCTGAGATTATTATTTAATAATATTATTCAGATTATTTAATAATATGATTCAGATCACAGCTTAAACTAATAAAAACGTAAAAAAAATTCCAACCCTCGGATTTTACAAAAAAGAATTTAAAGAAAGGCTTGAAAAACAATTTAAAACAAGGGGAACGATAAAAATAGAAATGCTAGTGAACTCAAAGAAAAATAATCTCAACAATATTGTTCAATATAACTATGGTTTATATCTATAAAACTTAATTTTTGTATATATGTGTATGTTCGTTTGTATGTTCCTTATAGACTCGAAAACGGCTAAACCTATTGTACTGAAATTGTTCTAGATTAATACGGAATTTACAGTGAAAATAGGCAAAAAACTAAGATTGAACGAATGTAGAAATTCAAATTAGTATCCAATGCAAAGGTAGTTGTGACTTCGACTGTAAATATTTTTCGGGTGTTTTGTGTGAAAGTCTTTTACATGCCACGAACTTTAAAATCTGTTTTGGGTCTGTGTTGTACATGTGTTGGACAATGTGGTTGGATTTTGGGTTAATTATTCCAGTACCAAAAGTTATATTGATAGTTCTTAAGGATATTGTATCTCATTATGTTTATTTAACTCTCGCAATTCAAACTTGGAAAAATAATATTTCTACTTAAAGTTATGGCATATTATTGGCTATTTTCTTTTGGGTATTTTAAAGTTTTACATCGTAGCCTAAAATTCGACGACTCGGTCGACGTTTTTCGTCATACAAGTCAAATGCGTGTATTTTAATGAATGTTACCCAAATACGTCGGGCTCACAAAATTTCAAAGTTGAACATATACAAAATTGACAATTTCTTTCTTTGTTTTCACAAAAAATGTGAATGTTTGTAATTGCAAAATATAACATTGAATGGATATTAAAAATTAAAATTTTTTGCAACGTTATTAGTCGGTAGATTTTATGATATATACCCCCACTTTATTGGTTTCCAATGAACATTTTGAGGTATTACAAACCGAATAACAAAATAATATGCAATAAAAGATGAATTAAGTTAAGCTGTTCTGAAATCATTATGCCCTCAAATAGGATGGACAAACTGAATTCCTTGAAGAATGGTCTTCCCATCTTTACGAATTCAAAATTGTATCTTAAAAGTGTTATTACATGTATGTCTTAAAAGTGTTATTACAACCACCAAACACAAAAACCTGCAGAAATAATGAGATGAAATCAATTCTATCATCAACCGGTACCCATGCAACAAAAGAAATATAATTTAACATCATTAACTAGAATAGATGCAACAATAAGTTGTGTTAAAACATTTCAAAATGTTTGCGATTTATTCACAATACCCAGAGATAATAAATAGATAAAGACATAGAAAAGTAAAAATATAGACAACGGAAAGTTATTTTTTATGCACGTGGCTCTAAGCACTCTTTTGTATAGTCAACTTGCCGAATTATGCAGTCGACCTACTCTACCTCGAAACACATTTCATCGTCTTTCAAGTTTTTCAATTGATTATTCCAGTATTTTTCTATGTCATCACTTTCAGCTATCTTTTATTACGGGACAATTTTCAACAGTTTTCCTACAGTTCATGATATTTTTAATATTTTAGAATTGAGTTACTCAAATTTTTTCACTTATACCCCTGAAACGACATAAACGTTTGAGAGAGGCACGTTTAAATGTCTTTTAGAAGAGGTCGAATTTTTGTTCACTCTTAACGCATATATAACTGCCGGAGAAAATAAACTTATTACTTGCAGATGTTTTCTTCTCCGGAAAACCATCTAAATATTCAAAATTATTTTTATACCCTCCACAATACTATGGAGGGTATATTAACTTTGTCATTCCGTTTGTAACTCCTCGAAATACTCATGTCAGACCCAACAAAGTATATATATTCTTGATCAGCGTAAAATTCTAAGTCGATTTAGCGATGTCTGTCTGTCTGTCTGTCTGTCTGTCTGTCTGTCTGTCTGTCTGTCCGTCCGTCTGTCCGTCTGTCTGTCTGTTGTAATCACGCTATCTTTCGAATGAATTGAGATAGATGGCTGAAATTTTGCACACATGTTTATTTTTCCAGTAGGCAGGTTAAGTTCGTAAATGGGCCATGTAGGTCCACGTTTTCATATAGCTCCCATATAACGGTAACCCCTCTATATTCGGTATTTTGATGATTTTAGGAACATTATTCACCGGAATTGTTTCAAATTTGGTATTCGAAGTTCCAAATGGATACTACACCCTAAGATAGAAAATTGTCTGTGCAAGTCTATGTCTTCGTATAGCCCCCATATAACGGTACCTCCCTATATTCGGTATTTTGATGATTTTAGCGACATTATTCACTGGAATTGTTTCAAAATTGGTATTTGAAGTTCCAAATGGATACTACACCCTAAGACTGAAAATTGTCTGTGCAGGTCCACGTCTTCGTATAGCCCCCATATAACGGCACCTCGCTATGTTCGGTATTTTGATGATTTTAGCGACATTATTAACCGGAATTGTTTAAAATTTGGTATTGGAAGTTCATTATGGGAACTACAGTCTGTGACAGAAAATTGTCGGTGCGGGTCCAGTTTTGAATTTGAATATGGTAATGGCTTATGACAAACAATGCATATGTATGTCCACGTCGTATAGACCCCAATATAACGGCTATATTCGGTATTTTTAAAATTTTAATAGAATTTTTTAAGGATTTTATTTTTTGAAAATTTCCAAATTCGTTGCAAATGGTGGAGGGTATTAAAAGTTCGGCCCGGCCGAACTTACTGCTTTTTAACTTGTTTATTTTAATTTATCCAATTTATTAAAAGTCGGTGTTAATACGGATTTGGTTTCTTTAATCTTCCGAAAAAAGTTTATTTGAATTCAATCAAGGCCGAATCAGGCAACCCCTTGGTTGCAAGTGGTTGAGGCCCCTAATATGTGGTTAAGGCTATTATATGATATATCCTAGGTTCCAACACCTTTCAATAGTTATAACCTATCGTCAATTTTTGCAGAAGTCTTTTTCGCAGACGACATACATTATTGAAAAACTTTTAGTTAATCAGTCACACCTAACAATTATTCCACAGATGTAACTTACACAAAATTTATCAAAAAATTAATCGTAAAATATTTTACAGATAAATATAATCATATGGATTTTTTCTTTTACAGATTGAAGTGTTTAACATTCTCTTTATAAGAGAACAGGAGAAACGGCATGTAGTCCACTGTATGACATGTGCTAGAAAACAATCGCCAAATTTACAAGGAATTGTTTGCTTGGAGGAATACCGATTGTCAGAGCTCTGTCAAGTTTACGACGCATTTATGCTATATAAATCTCATGCACTGCCAGACAATTCACCAACAAATCATTGACTTAACATGCTACTTATTAATAAACAATAAAATTAGAACATTTTATAACAAACTCAATTGTTATTTGGTTTCTAAACCGTAAGTATTCACATATTTTGTCAAATAGTAACAACTAATGGACATCAATGAAGCATGATCTTCCTGTAAGAAATGAATGCATACATGTGGGATTTGTGCAGTTTAAGTTTGATATCGGATGAAAGATAAAATAATATGGGAACTACATCTTAATCTAAATCCCCTTCCACCAACTTTGATAGATGTATTTGCAGGCTGTATCTATCGAGTACATATTGCACGATTTGATTGATAATATTAGATTGGATAAAAACATATACTAAAGCCATAATGTTTATTGCCTTTTTTATGCATTATCGGAATACTTGTTTGGGAAAATAATATTGTTGTTTGTCTATGTATGTATATGTATCAATAAATTTCTACTCAGAATTTGAACCACATCAAGTCCAAGTTTTGGAATCGGCTTAATTTCAATTTAATTTTGATTTATAAGAACTGAGAGGTGTTGTTGGGTTTTCATCTGTGTTCGAATGTGGCGGTTTTTGTTTTATTTGTTGTAATTGCGCAAGTTCAGGCGTATGAATTTGTAGAACACACACACAACGGAATGTTTTCACCGCTTATCATATTTATCCATTATTTTATTACACATTAATTTCTATTGTTTTTAAAATTGGATGTTGTCCAAAATTGTTAATAAAGCAAATTTTAACAAAAAAAAAAATAAATAAATAAATAAATAAAAAAATTAAAAATGAGATGAAAAAACTGCAAACATCTTCAGACTGCTGTCATTTCTAAGCCACTCGTCCGCCCATTCCCGGCGAAGCGCTTGCTTAAGCTAATTGACACTTTGGTATTTTTAGTGCCAACCTTGCTTTCCAAAATACCCCAGACACAATAGTCCAACGGATTGGTATCCGGAGATTTTGGTGGCTAATGTGCGCTGAAAATGAAGCGAGGAACCTAATTTTGTAATATGTATATGTATATATATCATATATATATATATATATATATATATATATATATATATATATATATATATATATATATATATATATATATATATATATATATATATATATATATATATATATATATATATATATATATATATATATATATATTCCAGGGAGAATTTACAGAGAAATTCCACGACCGTGAGATTTAGGATTGCACCTGCGTTGATCGGTGGATAGGACCGCGTGAGGAAGGGTTGGACCGATGAGTTCGCGAGTGAAGCAAGGTGTGATGCTTTTCCTTACACCGGAAACATCTCATCTTGCTACTGCAGGTGTTGTATTTATGCCCGGGTTGGAAACAATTAGAGCACAATTTTCTATTCAAAACGGCGCGCAATCGTTTAGGATGATTTATTTTTTGAACGCGATGAGCAGAATGAATGAATTGAGTGAAAACAAGTAAAAGAACATTAAGTTCGGCCGGGCCAAACTTTTAATACCCTCCACCTTAGGGTAAAGGAAACATTAGAAGAAATGTGGCAAAAACCATCAAAATACCGAATATCGGAGGGTACCGTTATATGGGGGCTACACCAAATCATGGATCTACACATGCAATGTTTCGCCACACGAACTAGGACCCATTATGACTCACAAATACCAATTTTTAGAAAAATCAGTGAAAAAATGTGGCAAATACCATCAAAATACCGAATATCGGGAGGTACCGTTATATGGGGGCTATACCAAATCATGGACCCATACATGCTATGTTTAGCCACCGGAGCTAGAACCCATTATGACCTACTAATACCAATTTTCAGACTAATACGTGAAAAAAATGTGGCAAAAATCATCAAATTACCGAATATCGGGAGATACAGTTATATGGGGCCTATACATACAATGTTTCGCCACACGAACTAGGTCCCATTATGACTCACAAATACCAATTTTTAGACAAATCAGTGAAAAAATGTGGCAAAAACCATCAAAATACCGAATGTCGGGAGGTACCGTTATATGGGGGCTATACCAAATCATGGACCCATACATGCAATGTTTCGCCATCGGAGCTGGAAACCATTTTGATCAACAAATACCAATTTTTAGACAAATCCGTGAAAAAATGTGGCAAAAATAATTAAAATACCGAATATCGGGATGTACCTTTATATGGGGGCTATACCAAAACGTCGACCTATACATACAATGTTTTGTCACACGTACAGGGACCCGTTATGACCTACAAATACCAATTTTCAGACAAATCCGTGAAAATGTGGCATAAATCTTCAAAATACCGAATATCTGGAGGTACCGTTATATGGGGACTATACCAGAACGTGGAAACCATTATGACCAAGAAATACCAATTTTTAGACAAAAAAAAAGTGTGCAAAAATAATTAAAATACCGAATATCGGGAGGTACCTTTATATGGGGGCTATACCAAAACGTGGACCTATATATACAATGTTTTGCCACACGTACAGGGACCCGTTATGACCTACAATTACCAATTTTCAGACAAATCCGTGAAAAAATGTGGCATAAATCATCAAAATACCGAATATCGGGAGGTGCCGTTATATGAGGACTATACCAGAACGTGGAAACCATTATGACCAAGAAATACCAATTTTTAGACAAATCCGTGAAAAAATGTGGCAAAAATAATTAAAATACCGAATATCGGGAGGTACCTTTATATGGGGGCTATACCAAAACGTGGACCTATATATACAATGTTTTGCCACACGTACAGGGACCCGTTATGACCTACAAATACCAATTTTCAGACAAATCCGTGAAAAAATGTGGCATAAATCATCAAAATACCGAATATCGGGAGGTACCGTTATATGGGGACTATACCAGAACGTGGACCGATATATCTCATTTTCAATACCAACCATCCTAGACACAATACCAATTGCTCTGCTAAATTTTTCGCTCTACGTCAAATAATGTGGGCTGTATCGTGATTTCAACAGACAAACAGACGGACATCGTTAAATCGACTTAGAATTTTATGCTGATTATGAATATATATACTTTTTTGGTGTCTACGACGAATATTTAAGGATGTTACAAATGACAAAGTTAATATACCCTCCTTTCCAAGGTGGAGGGTATAAAAACGAAACACATGTGAAAGGGTCCATAAAGCTTTGCCAAGAGAAGAGAAAGCTTCAAGTATTTCATCGTATTTGGAGAAGAAAGTAAAATGGGATCGAATACCACGCGCTTCCAAATCTGTTTCCAATTTCAGATGATTTGTCATTATCCATTGTGACGAATCTAATGATAGCCATTCCGCCCTTGCCACCATATTGAAGAATTAGTTAATTCGAGAGGAGAAAGCCCACGACTTCCTAAGTCGGATGGATTATCTTCTGATTTCACACAGAACCATTTTGCACTATCAACGTTTTCCTGTATACGATTTACCCTATTTGACACAAAGGTTGTCCAGGTGCTTGGAGTTTTCCGTAACCACGACAAAACAATTGAAGAATCAGTTCCACAATAGAGTTCGCTAATAGGAATTTCAATCTCCTCCCATACCGATTTAAGAAGATCCAAAGCCAAAACAGCGCCACACAGTTCTAAGCGAGGTAACGATACTGATCTAATGGGAGCGACCTTTATTTTCGATGTTAACAAATGGGTGTAAAATTCACCAGTTGAAGTAGTTATACGGAGTTATATAACTCCAGCATACGCTTTTTCCGAAGCGTCGGAGAAAATGTGTAACTCAGCTGTCCCATTTGGAGTATATTGAACCCAATTAATTGAATTTACGTTGGGGTAACTCTTAACAAACTCATCCCATAATGCATTAGTCCGTTCAGGAAGATAATGATCCCAATCAATCTTATCTAACCACACCTTCTGCATAATTATTTTTGCTACGACAATGACTGGGGGTCAAAAAATTTGGCGATGGTGGACAAAACTTCCCTCTTTGTGTACTTAGCTTTATTCCTGATGGGTGGGATGGGAAAAAATGGTTTAGAGCTGTTAGATTCAACAAAGGAAAGAACTTGAGAATCAACGAACTCTTCAGGAGAAAACCGAGAAAGAATTGACTTATGAGTGGAAGTCCATTTTCAAAGCTCAAATTTAGCTGTAGCTAAAGCAGAAATTAGATGATCTCGAGAAGCTATGGCAGTGTAAAAATCGTGTGAACCAGCCAACACATCGTCGACGTACATGTATTTACGCAAAATAGGGGCTGCGAGATGAAATTCCGATTCAGTATCATCAGTTAAATGCAGAAGGGTACGAATGGCCAAGAAAGGGGCACAATTGACGCCAAAGGTTACCGTTTGTAACTCATAATCCTGGATAGGGTCTGACGGCTGGTTTCGAAAAACTATGCGCTGGAGACAGGAATGTTTTGGGTGTACACGAATTTGTCGATACATCTGAGTGATATGACAGTTATAAACGAATTCGAACATTCGCCAGCGAAGAATTAGTAATACTAAATCTGCCTGAAGGGTAGGACCAACGTGGAGAATATCGTTAAGACTTACCCCATTCGAAGTCTTGTTGGACGCGTTGAAAACTACACGCAACTTAGAAGTCTGTTTATCTGGATTAAAAACGCAATGATGGGCATATAGCATATTTCCTGTTTATCTAAAGGAGCATCAGAAATTGGTTTCATGTGGTCGTATAATAAATATTCTCGTATGACCTCATCATAAACAGCCTTAATGGCTGGTCTACGCAAATGTGAATTTTCATGACGATAAAATTGGCTAAGTACGCGGGAACGAGATTTGCCAGTTGTGCCGAGACATTATACTGACTTTTGGGGGAAGTGTGACCGTCGGGATTCCTAGATATTGTTGCACGATACACCTCTTCACAAAATTTATCTGATGAAGAGAGGATTTTCTGTTTCGTAGTGTTGTCTAACTCCCAAAATCGAGGTAGAGTTCTCATCAGATTCTGATGAAAAAACATGAGTGGTAAAAACGTGCGATGGAGAATTGGGAATGGGCCTGTAAGAACCCAACCAAATATAGAATTTTGCGCCAATAATAAGCCG